CATTAGCTCAGGCTAACTATTGACTAGCTCTTACACTTAAATTAACCCATAATTCTTATTTAAGTTTAGCCACGTGGCTTGGTACCTTTACTTTAGTTCTGCCTTAATGTCTTGCTTCCTCTGTATCTGGCTGGTGACTCCTGACTCTTTGCAGAATTCTCTTCTCTGCTTGTCCCCCGCTATACTTCCTGCCTGGCTACTGGCCAATCAGCACTTTATTTATTAACTAATCAGAGCAACACATTCACAGCATACAGAGTGATAGCCACAGCATGCCCCCTTTTCTTCAATGTTTCCTTTCATAACTACTCAAAAAAATGTAAACTCACTAACTCTCCCTGCTATCAAGTATGAGTCCCAACCTCCTACCACTGCCTACAATGGGCTCTTGAGTCCTCATCTGAGACCCAGGCTCTTCAGCACCAAGGGATATTTTCCCATCATTTCTAAGGACAGAATCGCTCATTGTGAAATTTTCTTTATAAACTGCTTTTGAGAACAAATGTGAGTGTTTTAAATGGAAGAGAGTAAGTTATACTGTCACTAATTCATTATGAATTTAACTATTTTTAAAAGGAAAATGGAGGAAATTCCTACAGAAAAAAATTCCAGACACTTCTACATAAACATCTGTAATATTTGAAAGAATTCCAAATAAGCACACACAGAGAGAGAGAGAGACAGAGAGAGAGAAAGCACACACATAAAGAGAGGGAGAGTGAGAGACAGAGACTGAGAGATGGAGATAAATAAATAGAGACAGCGAAGAAACAAAAACTGCCAGGCAAGGCTCTTTGTGTAAAGAAAACAAAGGGGCTGTCTTTTCATGGAGCCCAGAAGTATATTTTCTAGATTATTTCCCTGTTCTTTCAAGAGACTGACCATTAAAAAAGCCTTGTTGATAGTGACATTGTAAGGTACTAATTCCAAAATAACCCAAAAAAAAGTGTTTTATGTAACTGAAGGAAAAAGCATATTGATAAAATTAATTCGTTATAGAGAAAATGATATCATTCCCACCATCCAGAAGAAACTAGATCAACTAGAATCTATTGCTATTGTGATGGAGTGCATTCGGATCTGACATCTTTTCCTTATGCTGCTGTCTGCAGTAGTATAGTGGTTGCTGTAAGTTCCCAAAGGTGTCAGGTAGAGTTCATGCCATTGGTGCAGAGAACTGTCCTCCCAGGAAACCCAAAGGCATGACATACATAGGTAATATTTCTACAAGTCATGTCCAAGTCAGCTCTTCCTTCCGCGCATTTCACATCCAGAAACAGGAGCAGCCGGCTAAGCTCCCACACACAGCTTTAAAAGTGCTCATTAAGGCAAATTATTTCCTCTTCCTTTACTAAAGAGCTTTCTTTTCAATTACTTTTTTTTTTAATTTCAAGTGGAAAACCACCTTAATTGGCCAACATAGACTAGCACCCTTCCCTAGGAGAGCTATTGGAAAGTCAGAATATGCAGGTAGTAGTGGTTTGGACCCACAGAAATGGTGATTTTTCTATCATTTGAATATCATAGAGGAAAATAACAAAATATGAATGATTTTCCCCTCTCATTTGGAAGTTGTTAGTAGACTTTCCTTTGTTCCATTGAGAGAGAAGAAAATATTAAGTTACAGAGAACCCATATGGCCAGCAGAAAACCCCATTTAATTGCTTTATTGCCAAAAATGTTAAATAACTTCCTGAAGAGGCAGTTCAAATGAAACATATGGCAGCTATTAGCAAGGGACCCTAACAAATTCAAAAATATGCTTTCTATGGGAACTTTCTCATATCATAAGCAACAATCAAATTTGGTATGTTCATTCCATTTGATGAACACCTACTTTGCACTTGGATGTATACAGCCATCTGGCATGAGAAGTCTCTGGTAATACCAAGAATAGATAGTTGGACACTCCTGGACCTCAAAACGAAGACCCAACTGTACTCATCAGGCACATCTTGGAAATCAAGGGAAAAAAATCCCCTTAACAATGCCTCCTTCACAAGGGTCCAATGCCTGAAACCATTCCATTTCCACCTAGATAATATTTTGTTTTAAGATTTATCTATATTTTTATTAATGTGTACATGTGCTATGCAACATATATGGGTACTCCAGGATGCAAAAAGAGGGTATCAGATTAATTATTCAAGGTGGGTGCTGGGAATCAAACTTGGGTCCTCTGTAAAAGCAGCAAGTGTCTTTAACCACTGAGTCAACTCTCCAGCCTACCCTGAACCTGTGTACTCTTAGTCATCTACTACCTAATCGTTTCCTTTAACACCATACCAGTGATAGAACTGACCACTATCACTCAGCATCCACTGTGTGCAACTATTTTTTGTCTGTTCATATGGCTTTGTCAACTAGATTGTGAATTCCACACTGAAGAAAATTTTTAGATTTTTGTATCCACGTTATCTTAAGACATGTAATTAAGAGTCAACAAAAAGCTTTACTTAGCTGAATACTAAGTGCCAGCATTTTCTAATTGCTTCAATGCCTTATATCCCTTCCTAAATTCACAAATTTAATCAATTTATGCATAGATCATTTTCTGGAGAGACAGTTTGGCCTCAAAAGCAAGTGAGAGGAGAGCTATCCAGTTGTTATTATGATGTGGTCTTGCTTGAAAAGAGAGATTATCACCATCTAGGCACACTAAATTTTGACTCTCTTTTTTCTACTTTGTAATATGACTGTGGCAGTTACTTAATGGAAATGAGATTTGGTAAATTAAAGCAGCATGTGGAACATGGTAAGATTCCAAAATAATCAGCATTAGCCACATGAAATATGGACATGGGGCATATGAAGGGTAAAATATTTTTGTCTTATAACTCAACACAATGATTATAATTTCATTAAATATTCTACATACTAAGGATATATTTTTATAATCAAATACAATATGGAAAATGTCTGTCTATTGCTAGTCAACTTGTAGTTTGGGGCAAGAGTTTTAATTTATTTTAAATGCCTAAGCTATAAGAAGAGGACGATTGCCTAATTTCTGTCCAAAACAAATATATGCATGTATGTTTTGCAATCTCAGTTGATATCTTGTCAGAGAGCCTCACAATGCTCTGATAAGTAGGCACAGAGGCCAACATCCCAAAGGGTGTGTCCTAGTTTTCATAATTGACCTTAGGACCACACCCAAGCTACTGGAATCTGTAGGACTTCATAAGGTAGTTCTGAGGATTGAGTGTAATTATGCAGGTAAAAGTTTAAATGTATAACACAAAGTGTCAGTTAATTTGTACTGGAGTCTTCCTCCATGAGTATCCTCTTATTCCCTGTCACCTACATTCACAATCTTGCCAGTAATTACAAATCTTCTATTGTCAGTACTCTTAGTCACTCAACAGAACTTGATATTAAAAACCTTTCTGTTGAAGACACCATACACCATACACAGAATGCGGGAGAAATCAAGCTGGTACTTATCTGGAAGCTTGCTGCCTGATGGCCAGTTTTCATGGCACCAGAGGATGCTATGCAGTATGCTGAGGAAGAGAAGTCATCAACCGTCTTACCCAACCGTGAATCCTGAAAGCTTTGATAATGACTAGCCCGACAAGATATGCCCATGGGTGTCATAGTGGTGTGAATGTTATGGAAGTGACCAACAGTTATCTGATTGTATTCAAGGCCCACTCCACAAGAGAGCATTTATACTTAGTACCATAAACCTATCCAAAACTCCTTGGCGAAGGAGCTCATAGAGAACCTATGACTATTATTTCGCTAAGTGGAAAATGCAGTAAACTTCCTTCTAAGTGTGTATTCCTACATTCACAGATTAGTGATCTCTCAACCTTCATCAAAGAAGTCTCTTTCCACATGTATCTTTCACTGTCTGTCTCTCTCCCTATCTTTCTGTCTCTCTGTCTCTTTGCCTCTCTGTGTCTGTCTCCTCTCTGTCTCTATCTACGTGTATGTGTGTGTCTCTTTGTTTCTCCTCTCTGTCTCTGTCTCTGTCTCTGTCTCTCCCTCTCTCACACACACACACACACTCACTCACTACAAATCACACACATAAGTACCTTTCCTGTCTTAGCTCTGTTGTTCTCTGAAGACCGAAGAAGCACTAGGTAGTCTGTAGTCGGCGGTTGTCACACAGAAATCTCAATGGATGGGTCATATAGACTCGTAAAAGCCTCTCTAATCTGCATGCATACATACAGGTATACCCACGCACTCATCCATACGCACTACACACACACACACACACACACACACACACACACACACACACACACACACAAGTTAGTGCCTCTGTGTCATTTCAAACAAGAGTAACTGAGAACTAGAAATTCAAGCTCCTTAATTCGTTCTGGGTATTCACAAAGAATAGTGTTAACAGTTGTGCTTCTTAAGCTTTTGAAGCATTTCATTTTACTCATTCTGAGCCTTATGCTTAAAAATAATAAAAATAATAATGAAATGGAATGGACAGTTTTAAACCTTTCATATCAATAAATAAACCCATAGAATCCCTGCCCAGAGTAATAGTAAGTAAGTAAACAAGACTGTTCCTCTTTCTGGGTACCTGGGATGCCTTATGGAGGGCACGATATTCACTTCTCCCAGCAGCCCTATGAAAAACATGAGATTTTCCACCTGTTATAAAAAGAGGCCGGGTAACTCACTCAGGTGCTTACTGACAGTCAAGAAAGGCCAAAGACTTCAAATGCCCAGACACTACTTTGTGGGCCTCCCAAAAATAGAACAAAGACATTCACCCAAAGTCAGAGGGCATATTAGTGCCAATGCCATTTAAAGATAATACAGATGGATTCAAACTTCAGACCAGAGAATCATGGATTGGATGTGGCTCTCAAAGCCCGGTCTAATGGCTTCACAGACTGCTCCGCAAATGCTTTTTTCTACTGTTTTATCTAGTTTTTACTACATTTATGATACATTAATCCTAGTGGTATTAGTTAACTTTTTTTCTAGTAGGGTCGTAATTTTGTGCATCTCTTTTCTTTTTTCAGGCTGTCCCATGTGTTGGAGAAAAGGAAATGGCTGGTGAGTTGACATTTGAATTGTGTTTTCTCTCCTACCTATTTTAGAATGAAATTCCACCTTAAAATAGAAATCTCTCTAAGTATCTAAAGTGCACAATCTCATCAATTTCTGTGGGAAATGTTATTGTTGAATTCTTAGCCAAAAAGAAACAGCTGTTCTCAAAATGGAAACAAAAATATGGTTTTTAAACATCACATTGTACTGTGTTTAAAAAAAAAACTTCTTGTAGCCTTACAATTAACGGCAATTACATTTTTTTCTCTCTTGGGGGAAGAAATTGATATTGGCTAATGTGTTGAGGAATGGTCTTTGAAAACTGATTGTTGGTATTTATCAAGCTTTTTTTTTTATCTCAAGTAGCTTGTTCAGTAGTCAGAAATAGATGCGCTTGGTGTTTAAAATGGACACTGCATAATGGAAAGTAGTAAGAGGCAATGTAACTGCTGGAGAAAAGATGGTCTTGTTTTTCACACTTGGTGATGATTGTAATTATTCCACAGTACTGTGGGAAAGTGGGAGGGGATTGATGAGAGACATGAAAACAGGAAAAATTAGGCTGGAATTGATGGAATTGCATGGAATTGATGGAATTGCATACTTTGAAGTCTGCTGGTCTTTCTCAATATTGTCTTCTGTGGTCTACCTAAAGAAAATTAAGACAAAAGGAAAAGCAAAACCAGTTTGAATACGCCACGCCAACTTGAAGCATGTCACTTAGTTTACAGACATGTGACCTTATTGAGATCATAGACGTGTGATGTTTAAGAGCAACAGTGAAGTCAAGTTGCATAGAACCAAAGGACAGTATCATGACATCAAGACATCAAGTGCTCTAATGAGTTTAGGGCTTGTGGAAGATGAGTTTTTATTTACTCATATTTATTTATGTATTTATTTGGAAGAAGGAAGTCTGCATACCATGGCATGAGTATGGAAGTCAGAGGACAATTTATGGGAGTCAGTTTTCTCTTTCCACATGGGTTCTGGAATCATACTTGGGCCTTGAAGTTTGGTAGTGAATGCTTTCACCCAACCAAGTCACACTGACATCTTCGTCACGTGTGAGTGGTGATGTTCATCTGTTCTTATGGAGCTCTTTCTTTGTAGCTAGACAATTTTTACACAAACAGCTTAGCTCTTTAACTCTGCGAGCTGAACTTCTCTCTCCTGTTTAGTTGGTGTCTGACTTCTTCACTGTAATAGCATCGAGAACCCCTAAGAATAGGAGGACATGATGAAAACGGATCCAAGTTTCTATGAAGGGAAAATGAAACTGTGTTGTGAATGGGCTCTGATCATACAGATTAACCACCCCTTCTCTTATCAGGTGAATTCAAAGTAAGTTGTTAAACCGCACCATGTCGTCACACAGATTTTGCTTGACTGTCTAGTTAAACAAGAACTAAATGATTGCCGGGCGGTGGTGGGGCACACCTTTAATCCCAACACTTGGCAGGCAGAGGCAGGTGGAACTCAGTGAGTCTGAGGCCAGCCTAGTCTACAAAGTGAGTTCCAGGACAGCCAGGACTGTTCCACAGAGAAACCCTTCTTAAAATTAAAAAAAAAACCCTAAATATGATTAAGTATGTACATATACGCCTCAAAGACCCCCATTTTTGTCTGGGGTTGTGACATTCTCTGTAATTCCCTATATTAGCTGTGATTTAAACAAAGTGTGTAATGGAGCAATATTGTCATCTTACTCCAGAATGTCAGCAAATTCTCTCATTCTCCCAAGAAAACCATTCAAGTGTAAACTGTTGGCTGGTGGGAAGAGAGCGAAGGGAAGGAACGCCCCTGACTAAGGAGACAGCATAGCAAAGAGCCAACTCCTTCCGCTTCCACTTAAATGGTTCCACTTGGACATGGAGGAGTGCTTCATTGTGTAATTTCTCTGGTGTTTCAAAAAGACTGTTGTAACTCAGAACTAAGCACAGCATAAGCAGAATGCACCAACTACTTCCTATCCCCTTGCGCATTCTCCTCCTCTGAAATAGGAAAGTGAAATTGACAGCCACACTTTCTAATATCCGAATTTGATATTAAAGAGGCAAAAATCTCAAAGCTGATGTCTATGTGGTGGTGCACGCCGGAAGTAGGAAGGCAGAAGATAGAGATTCACAAGTTCAGTGCTGCCTTGGGGCTACTTAGCAAAACCCTATGTCAGATACAGGACAGGTGTGATGGTACAATCCCACAATTAGCATTGAAAGGCTGATGCGGGAGGGACAGTTGAGTTCAAAGGAAGTCTAGACTACATAGCAAATTGTAGACCAGCCTGAGGATTGCAGAGAGAGATCCCGTCCCAATGAAAAATGGTCAGCAAATTATCTCAGCTGGTAAAGGCACTACCACCAAGCCTGAAAACCTGAGTTCAATCCCCGGGACCCACATGGTGGAAGGACAGAAGTTGTGTTCTGACCTCCACATGTGCAAGAACACACTCACATACACCAATACATACATACACACACATACATACATACATACATACATACATACATACATACATACATACATACAATGTAAATTAAAAGCAGACAGAGGGAAGAAGTTGATAGACTCAATTATTCTTGGATTTTCATAAGATCTCTCTGAAGAATTAGATCAGCTGAAATATGTTATCTTACCCAGGTGCAGGCAAGGCACATGGATGTCCCCTATCACATACTTGATGACTCACGCTGAATTCATTCAGGTAGAACCTGTCTTCTTATCTATGTTAAAACATTTGTATTTCCACAATATATTCCTAAACTAATTTTACTTTATAGGTCCCTGGATGAAGTATTATGCGTCTGAGGAAATACAATTTTTGAAAATACAAGTGTAAGAAAGAGATTATGTCTTTAAAAGTTAGTGAGCTCACCTGTGAAGATGACTCCTATATTTGAACATTCTGTGAATAATGGTAATAGATCATATGGTCCAAAGAGAATATTATTTAGTTCAAAAGTTGTGAAAGAGTGTAAGCATCCACCTCTTCTCTTTCTAAACTTACCACAGTCTGTAGAAGACATCGTAAGTGTTTAGTTTGTGAGTGGGACTCTCTTCATTCTCGGCTCTGCTAGGCAGAAGACTTACTCGGTCTTCCTGGGTAACTGACCTCTTTAGCAAGATTAAACCTTCCTATCGACCCTAAGGGCTGCCTTTTTTCTTTTCTTTTTCTCTTTCTTTTTTTTTCTTTTCCTTTTTCTGTTTGTTTCTTGTTCAATGAAGGCAGCCTATTGTTCCTTACTAAGAAAGTCTATTTTTGACTCGTATGACCTCTCATCCGAGGCAACTGGAGCCCACTCCGCTGGGCCTCATGGGGCTCGAAACACAGCCATTTGTAGTGCCTCCCACCCATCGCTCTTGCATAGTCTCAGGCTGTCTGGTGTGGTCTCCTGATGCATCCTCTGTTCCCACCCGGGCTGCTGTGCTTTCCCGACATTTCTGCAGCTGCTCTCCTTCTTCCTGAGTGCCGAAAAGGGGGAGGGGACACTTTTGAGACAGCATCCCGTGTAACCCATTCTGTAAGGATTTATTGAACAGCTATGTCTTCTAGGCATCCTGGTAGGCTATTCTGAAGAATCAATTATGATTAAAAACTCAGCCCTTGCTTGCAGGAACTCAGACTCTCATTGGAGAATTAGTTCCACAGGTTGGGGTCCCCCCTCCCCTTTCTCAACAGAGCATTTCTTCAGCACCTTGTCCATACACTTCCTAGGACATGGATCATACCAAAACCGTTTTAGCAACCCATGTCAGAATGCATATTCTTAAAACCACAATATGTATTCTTATGACCAACCAAGTCACTCTTAGAAGAATTATTCTCAAACCACACAAGTATCATCACATATTATTGTCCTCATTAATCATCAAATGTGTACACCTAGAGAATGGGCTCCATGAGCCAGGCATGACGGTGTGTTAAAACTTCAGCGGCACTTGGGATCGCAAGTTCAAGTCCAACCTGGAATATAGAGTTAGGGTTTATCTTTCAAAAACGTTCAGAAACAAAAGGAAAATAGCCTGAGCCTGAGTCACTGGAATCTTCTCTAGCACATCTGCTCCCTGTCTGTGTAGCCTTCAGCAAGTTATGTAACTTCCTCATTCCTCTCAATTAGACAGTGTAAATAAAGGATCCGCCATGATATTGATGTAAGCAGGAATGCCTAACACACAGTGAGTCCTAGAAGTCTAACTCATTCTGATGACAATCAGTTATGCACATAAGCACTGTGCGTTAGGCCTCATAAAGGCTAGCTTTGTTGCTACTGTCTGTGTGTTTTTCCTTGTGATACCACATACGGCTAGCTACGTGGAAGCCTTGGGGAAGAGCGATCATTTTCTTCACAAACCTCCTGAGCTGATGAAGACGCATGTCATTGCAATACAGGCCCAGTTGTAGCCTCTCTCTAAAAATTATTTTCTCTTTGAGACTAAAATTCTCTCTTGTGAACAAGTATTCTTCAATATCTACCAAATAATTAGTCCTTGAGAAGTATATATGCCCCATTTGCTCACGCTTCCCTAATAACCCTGTATTCGGGTAGTGTAATTGGATCCTGTCTACACAGCAGCCTGGCTAGGCTCACAGATTACCCAGCTGTTCTGACTGTCCTTTCTTTTGCATGAGGTCCTGTCAAAGCTCCTCCTCAGCCCACACTCCTGCGGTCCCTCTCACTGGAGGCTCCATTTTTCACTGGAATTCTTCAACACTGTCCAGAACTGGATTCCCTGCTCTCTCTCTCTCTCTCTCTCTCTCTCTCTCTCTCTCTCTCTCTCTCTCTCTCTCTCTCTCTCTCTCTCTCTCTCTCTCTCATTATATGTATATGTGTATCAGTGTTTGAGGTTTGTGCACATGAGTGTAGACGTCTTCAGAGGCCAGAGGTTTGAATCCTCTGGGGCTGGAGTGACAGGCAATTTTGAGTCACCCTGCACAACCCACCAAAGTTGAGTCCTCTACAAGAACAGTGCAAGCTCTTAACCACCGGCCATTAGCTCCAGCCCCT